TACTCTACGCCCATTTTCTCCTTTGTCTTCCTTGCCCTGCCTCCCCCCTCTCTGTTAGCCCTTAAAAGCCTTTCCCTCCCAACATGCTCCAGTTCTGACGAAGGGTCGTGAACCGAAATGTTGACTCACTTGCCTTTCTCCATAGATGTTGCCTGACCTGCTGAGTGTTCCCAGTGACTTCTGTGTTTCAGATCTCCAGCATCTGCTGTATTTTGCGTTTTATGTGGACAATAGAAATGGTTTCAGTGCAGTAGCTTATAATACAGTAACTATCAAATCGTACAGACCATTATCTTATGATTTTGCTGGCTATGCAAGTGTATTATTTTCATATCAGATGTGTACCTTTCATATCAAATATGTATACCTACATATTTTTGCATTTTTGTATCAACAATAGATTTTTGGTTTGCACATCTGAAAATGTTTGCAGTATCTTATGCTGGAGAGGAAAGAATGGTGATTCATCTATATTATTAGTGGCTGCCAGGCTGGCACAGTGACATCCTCACCTCTCAGTCAGAAGGTTGTGGGTTCAAGTGCCAGGTCAGGTCTTGGAATCACATAATCTAGGATGACACTCCAATCGAGTGCTGGGGGTATGTTGCATTATCGGAGGTGCTGACTGAGATCCCGTCTGCCTGTTCAGATGGGCATTAAAGATCCTAATGCACTATTCAAAAAGAGAATGGAGTTTCTCCCAATGTCCTGGCCAATATTCCCCCAAATAAAAAATTGGTCACTCACTCCACAGCCTATTTGTGAGACATTGCTGTGTGTTAACTGGCTACTGTGTTTCGCCCACAAAATACAGTCAATCCACAAGTATATTATAAGTATATCCTGTGAAGCATTTTTTGAGACATCTTGAGGACCTGATAATAATAATAATAATCCTTGCATTTGATATAGCGCTTTTCACGTCGGGAGGACGTCCCAAAGCGCTTCACAGAACACACTGTAAAGTGAATTGACTGTATATTTGTGGGCGAACGCGGCAGCCAATTGCGCACAGTAATGTCCCACAAACAGTCGTAGATTGAAAATGACCAATTTATTATTGTTTTTGTTTTTGGAGGGATTATTATTAGGCGTGTGGAGTAAGGAAACTTGCCCAAGGTTTCGCCCTGTCTGGAACTGAACTCGGGTCTCTCACTTGCAAAGCGAGTGCTCTAACCACTGAGCTACAGGACTCCACACTAAGACACTATATCAAACGCAGAATTATTATTATACCGCAACAATTGTTATCAGCAATTTGATTATCCATTATTCACAATGGGGAGGTCTAGCACAGTTATTGGATGCAGCTCTTTGAGACTAAAAGACCTTAGTTTCAGAATCACCTGTTGAAGATGGAACCTGAACATGAAAACTCAAAATAAAAATCAATACAGATCCTGCTGTTAAGCTCCTAACATGCAAACATTCAGAGAGGAGGCCAAAGCAATATTCCACTGTGCAATTTATATTTAAATAGATTCATACATTTGTGTCCAATATTAGGTCAATGCTTAATATCTATTTTCAAGTCTCATTAAAAAACTCACTAGATGAATGCACAATGTGCAAGCCAGATAAACACTGATTGTCATATTAAAGGCATTTGGAAAATAACCAGTATTCTCTTTCTGTACCACCTGAAAAAAAAGGTTTCTTACATTTCTCTCACTGACTCTCTGCCAAACTCTTAACCAAACACTGCACCTGTTGGATCATATGATGGAGATGCAAGTTCACAGAAAATGGCTGGTGATTGACCAACTGTAGTTTTGGAAGCAGAACTAAAAATCGAATTAACATGGTCTGAAAATGGTCTTATAGTACAACTAATACATTTGTATTGATTCGATTCAGAAACAGTATCAAATTGATTCTAAAAAATACAGTATAAATGGGTGTTAATCTAGAACATTTCAGACGGTACAATCACCCGCCAACACAATCAAGGGACAGTCTCAGTCCAGGCTCTCACTAACTTTGGGGCTCAAATCTTCAAACTCCCTGCTACTTGGACTTCCCAGCTCCTCCTACACAGGTTGCAAACAATCCAAAATTCGGGAGTTTGCGCCCTCTTCCACCTTCAAGTCAATCAACCCTATCCTCGCTCGACTCCACTGGTTCCCCATCCCCCAGCAGATATTAAAATCTTTGTCCTCACATTCAAATCCCTCCACAGCCTCACCTTACCCTTTCTCTGGAACTTCCTGCAACCCTTTTACCCCAACCGCTCCCTCCACTCCGTGAACACCAGTCTGTTTCATGTCCCCTCTCGAAACACATCCCAAAGCGCTGAAATCCCATTCAGATTCCCAGTCAGCTGCATGAACTACTTTGTTTCCGATGTGAAAGGCACTTAAATATAAATGGTTGTTGTAGTATACACATTTTCCAAGAATCTCACTTCACGAGAACAGTGAGAAAATTATTTCCCAAATCTGACAAAATTCCAACAATTATTTAAGTTTTGTTTACTTATGTAATAATTCACTTAGATTTATGAACAAACCATAGCAACAATTATGACCAGAACCTTTCTAAAAGCCAGAACACACTTACAAAGATCGATTCAAATTGAGCGATATTAAGTACTATTAAAATAATTCCCTTGTAAGGAGGTTAGGATGAGCATACTGAACAAACAAGTTAAAACTAAAAGAAGAAAACTGATTAAGAGAAGGAAAGAACACAAAATTTGCATTTATATAGCAGCCTTCTCATCGGTAGCATCTCAGAGGGCTAATCACAAAATGGGGAAGAAAAAAAGCTATGTTTTCCTCAAACAACAGAAACTGTAATGGGAAGAAGGTTGTAAAACAGTGGTAGGAAAAAAATATATACATATTAATTGATGAATTTGGAAATTGGAACCGATTTAAACAAGTTCAATTGATCTAACGATGTCTGTAGCTTTACCAATCCATAATCTTCACCATCAACAAAGCAGAACTGAAAGCAACTTTTTTTGAGAAATTGTAATTTTGCCTTTCCAAATGATTAGATCTGAAAGTTATTAACCAGTAAATCTATCACTGACAATGTAGATCATTAAGAGTTTTAAATTTAAGAAATCGTGGTTTAACAATGAAAAGTACAATTTAATTTCCAGTTCTATATTCACGCATCAACAAATTCAATTATGTGGCTTCAAACAACTACAATACAAAAATGTTACCCCTAGGAAATGCAGCAAAAGATTTCAACAATTGCAACTGCTCGTCATTACTGCTCCGGAAAGCCTTCCTAAAATTGCTGCAAAAATGTGTTATGCTTTACCACTGAACTGGTTTTACACCATAGGAATAAACTATTTTTTTTGGAAAGAAGTGCAAATTAGTAGTCTGGAAATTCATTGCTACCATCTGAGTTTTATTAAAATAGAAATAAATACTAGTTGTCTATTGATAATAAATGGATTAATACAATACAAGGTATGTTTATACAACTTAACTACATGTACTTGCAAGCATTCGGGCAAGTGTATGTTTTAGATCACAAAATACTTTTGATATTAGTCATCTTCTGGTCACAACATCAATAAGTTTACATTCTTTCTGAGTTCATTTAATGTCAAAGGCAAGTATTTATTCTATTAAACAGAAAATAAACCTTGTATCCTGCTTAAGAATACCTCTGAATCAACAAAACTGAAGTTGGAATATTTCTATGAACCAATCTTTTAATGATTTATAAGAATTTAATTTTAGAATGACAATAAAGAAACATTCAGCACTTTACATTTTGTACAATTCTTTCAAGAGATTGTTCCTGGACTGGTGCAGGATATGGAACAATAATTCACACAAGCCCACAGTAGTGCCAAGAACTGTTCCAGACTGGATTTAATTACATCCATTAAGTGTAAAGGGCCCGTTTACATCGCTACTGTTTTGTAATTAATGTACAGTCCCTAAATTCAATTTTTAAAATACTTAAAATTGCAAAAACTCTATAAGCTAAGCTCTTGCTTAACTTAAGAGAAGCGGCATCTTGTAAAACCTAAACTGCATTTTTCTAAACTATGTCCTTTACAAAGTCATAAAGAGCTACTTTCTAAAGTACTTAGTTTTAAACACATTAGGCAAAATACTTCTACAATTCTTAGATTTGCATGAAATTTGAATTGAAAAGAGTGAAAGTTTTTGATCATTATGACAAGTCAGAAATCTGACTCCGAGTGAGTCACTAGTGAAACTTAAGGAACTCTGTACATACAGACAATCCATGATCAATATTGTTCAAATTCCATGCAGATATGTAATACTGTGCATTTATATTGTATTTTCTCCTAGTTTTAAGTTTGTTTGAAGGCAATGAGTAGCTTAGAAAAAATTCATTCTGTGAAAGAAATACACTCAAAATAGATACAGTAGAAGGTATAGCAAATATATTTGTTGTCATTGTAGCCAAATAATCTTTGAAAAACAATTAAATACAATCTAGAATTGAATAGCCTAAAAGTTCACCTACCATTACAGTTAATTTTGTTTTTTGTCCTGTTTTGTCATCCTATTAGTGATAGAACTGTATGCCTGAATGTTCACAAAAACTTGCTAGGTTCTTTTTGGGAAAAGCACCCCTTTTGTATACACTTCCTGCAGTAGGCAGGAAGTATCATTTCAGTAATTTCCTTCATTTCTTTAACATTGATGATGATTACTGTAGCTGGACATAAAAATAACTCATTCTATAATTAGATAGGTAAACCCAGTAGAGGAAGCATTTGCAAAAATAACATTATTTGTGCTCTTTTCTAAGGCAGCAAAATGGTGATCATTGCTCCACTTGAGTAAAGGCAGAATTGTTTTCTGCACCAACATGGTTGGCCAGCTGTTAAGAGAAAACTGTCACAGCAGTAAATCAGTTGTGTATGCACTTATAATTTGAGTTTGCACACACACACCCCAAACATTCATAACCAACTTTAACCTCAGTGGAACCCAAAAACTTTTTTTTAAGATTTGATAAGCTCATAAAAGTTAAAATACAAAAAAGCTTACCTTTGAAAGCTTCTATTTCTTTCCTGTTAAAAAAATAAAAAGAACATTACAATACAAATTCCAAAACAAATTTATATTTACACAGCGCCTTTCACATTTGAGTAGACATCCCAAAGTGTTTAACATAACTGGCTTGGCTCCTCAGCTGGAGGTGGGGTGGAGAAAGTTGATCAAAAGCGCAGTAGATCTTGAGGCCGCCCTTGAACAAACTGAGGGAGGGAGGCAGTCGGCGGGACTCTGAGATGGAATTCCAGAAAATGGGATCAAAAAGACTGAAATCCAGCCTGCTGATCAGGCAGGGGCAGATAAGGCAAGAGACATGAAGCAGGCCAGTGCTTGCAGAGTGAAGAGAACGGATGGGTCAGCAGGGTAGAGGAACTAAGTCGCCAAGCTATGTCCCCATTGTAATTACGTTTGTGTACACGTCTTTCATAATTACTGAAAAAAATTAATCATCATTAAATAGAAAGACAAACGGTACATTTGATATTGTTTCAATTACCTACAAACCGCATATTCCTTTTATGTTACTTTTCATATTATTTAGGTCAGGTGGGTGCTTGACACACGCAGAAACCCATCACTACACTTAAGGGATCATTTTATAAAACTAACCAATAACAAAAATAAAACTTGGAAATCCCAAATGAGATAAAGTAGGAAAGCATTAAGAAAAAGCATTAAAATAATCCTTGCATTTGACATAGTGCCTTATCACAGCATTGAGAAATCTCAAAACACTTCATAGGATATACTGTAAAATGGAGTAACTGTGTACAGTATTTTGTGGGTGACTGTAGCAGCTAGTTTGCACACAGCAATGTCCCTCAAACAGCCATGGAGTGAGTGACCAATTTTATTTTGTAGATTGATGACCAAGATACCAATAGAAATTTGCTTCTCTTTTCAAACAGGGGCATAGGATCTTTAATGTCCAACAGGACAGGCAGACAGGACCTTGATTTAACAGCTCATCCAACGGACTGCAACTCCGACAATGTAGCTCACCCCAGTACTGCACTTGAGTGTCAGAATAGGCTATTTGAGTTCCAAGTCCCAACGTGGGGCTTGAACCCACAACCTTCTGATTTAGAGGCTGATACAAAATTATATTGTTGTGATGGAAAAATACAAACAATACTGCATGATTAAATTGGTGTTCATTGTTTTTACAACTCAGACAGTATATTTTTCTTGCATCGAGCAGCTGTATTAAAACACTCCCAACCCAGGTAGAGCATAATCAACACAAAACCTCCATATACTATGCTTCAATAAAGCTCATCTTCTGAAGGCAGCCCTCAATATATGATTTTATTCATCAGAACAGCTGTCCCAGTAACCTCTGAATGACATTGCCAATTCAAAGCCAACTGTGCAGTTGTTGGTAGTTCTGTGTTCCATGACCTTGCCCACAAGACATAAATTGACTCAGAAAGCAGATTTACTAAGATTTACTTTTTTTATAAGTAAAGAAAAACCTGTGAAACAAAACACATTTTCATCTTATCAATTAAGTTGGATTCAAATCTAATCATATGTTTTGCAATAAAAACAAAATGTACTTTACAAATCAACCATTCACTTGGCAAGATAAAAGATCTTCATGGCACTTTCATCCTTACTGTTAAATTGAAGTCATGCAATCTAATAAATTAGATTAGGAAACCATTTTTGATTCTCTCAAGGAAGCCAACAAATTTCCATTAGAATGCACCAAATTTCAAGACAAAACTGAACTGTTCTTTCATTGTTTTATTTTTCAATAATTTTACAATTGTAATATGGATTTGCAAGGTCAACTTTTTCCACAACTAGTCTGGTCCTTATGAGGATAACAAAATCTCTATCTGCTCCACGAATCAGAGTAGGACCACGGTCTACCTAATTCATTTTCTGCAAATTAGTGGCATCCATCAACCTATTGTCACAAGACCTATTTGCGAAAAGCACAATACCAAATGTATGGATTATTATATCCTTTACAAAAAAGATTTTAAAATAAAAAACATCTAGTGGTTTAGAAGTAGAGGTAGAAATACAGAAGAAAATTAATTCTTTACAAGCTTACAAAGGGGGGGACGTGTAAATAAAAGCTAAAACAACTGTTATAATTTTTAGATGCACTTCTGCATGAGAAGATTTTGGATTTTATCACAGCGTACAAAACAGATTTAATTGAGAAGAATCAGCATGACTTCCAATCCCAAAACAACAAACTATATTTATATAGCACCTTTCATGTCAAGAAGACACCCAAGGTGCTGGACAGTGAAGTGTTTGTACTCGAGTTGGGGAATCAAGGGGTATGACCGAAGACATGGTCAAAGAGGAAGGTCTTGAGAAGGGCCTTGGAGAAGGCAAAAGAGGAGTGAGTCAAAGGGACTGTGATGGAGTTCCATAGGGTGGGTTGGAAAGGCTGAAGGCCTGACCACCTATAGACATGTAGCAGGCCAGTGTCCGCCAAGCAGAGGAAGCGGGCAAGTTGGTAAGGTTTTAGCAGGTCGCAGAGGTAGGGTGAGGCAATACTGTGGAAGGCTTTGAATCCAACGATTGATGAAACTGCAAATGCATCATCCTTGAGTTCCCATTATGAATCGAAGTGGCTATGCTCATAGCTTAATAGAGTTCATTTTATACCAAGAGCCCAAAGCGCAATCCAATCTTCCATTACATACAGTGGGAAATAGTTCTTCAAATTCAGAACCATTCAGCATATTACAATGTGAACTTAAGGTTAGAAAAACATCCATTCCTCAAAAGCAATGCAATAGGATAAGCCTTCAGCCCAGTAATTTTGAGTGTAATTGTTCCGATTAAAATGTCATCTGTATGTTTGAAATTCATCATGTAATAGGAGTAAAGGATCCCAATCAAATGGGTGCTTATTTTTTAATGAAAGTTTCATATTCATGGAGCAAGAAAGATTCATAACCTGCACAAAAATGTTTTGGGGTTTCTTCTCCAATACGTCTTAAGCTTTATCTGTATTGATTACTACAAAATTCAATATACAATATCTATAGAGCAAATTATCATGGCGGTTTTAGGTGGAATAGACTTTATGCATCTAAAATGAAGCCCAATTTTTTTTGGGGGGTGAGGGTGAGGGAGGGAATGAAGAACAAAATCCACTGGATTTGTTCCATGAATCAAACTAATTCAGTCATTCTGAGACATAGGCACTAATGACAATTTTAAAAATTGTAGTTTTGACACACACAAACTGTAGGTTCATTACAGTAAATCGTATCAGTTGGGACCATAACATTTACTTTGACTTATGCAAAGTCCAAGTTGCAAGCGAACTGTACAAGTTGAAGAAAATCCAATTTAGTCAATAATCTACCCAGCATATTCGTAATTTAATGCAGTTAGTAAGTGTGCACGCGGTAATTCATCACTCTAGTTGGTAAGGGCACATGCAATGACAGGTTAAGACTACAGTTCCCTCAATTCGATGCATCTCGAGACATTGGAATTGCAGGAAATGAAGCACTTCCATGCATGGTTTGATGGATCAAGACTACATTTTCCATGATTCAATGCAGCCAGCAGGTAAATGTGCATGCGGGTTAGAACGTCATTTCCCGTGATTCAAGGCAGCTGGTAAGTGCAGGAGTAATAGTAGGGGAGCGAATTAAGAGATGATAAATATGAGTAGTAAGACTAGCAAAGAAATCTAAGTGGTTTTGATAGGAAATTGAATGGGACTCGGGTGAATGTACAACCTAGGCAATAATATGATTTATAAAGATAAAACTTATGCAAGTTTTACTGTATTATGCTGATATGGGGGAAAAAACTGAAGACCAACCCAGCAGAGGAATAATGTACAATGGGAAAGTACAATTGATACAAAAATCTAAATAGAGACAGTCCCTTTGGTTTATCCCATCTCCTGGGTGTGTCAACAACCACAACAAATTGTAGTTATGTAGCACTTTTCACATTGGGAGGACGTCCAAAAGTGCAGGACAGTCAAGGGTTTGCACTCGAGCTGTGGGCCGGAGGGCAAGGGGGTGATGGTGGTGTTTAGCCACATTGCTAAACAGAAACCTCAACACACTGAAAGTAGTTGTTAGAACAAAACTGGGAAGGAACCAACATAATTATAGAGTATAGCAAGCTGTAATTACCTCACTCCAAATCTTAAAGTGAACATGTTCTTGCAATTTTTCGTTGGGGAAACAAAATTCACTAGCAAGCAAATAATAACCGAACGTAATAAATATGGTGTGCTTTTGTTGACAATTACCTTTTTTGTTTCTTGTAGTTTTCCAGCTGAAGGATCTGTTCTTGTTTATAGCGCTCAAATTCGCACTGTTCACATATATCCTCCAAGTACAGTAAGTGACTCTCCAACTCCTCAAAGTCAGCTTCCAATTGAGCTGCAAGAAAAGGAAAGCTTTCAAATGTCATTGTTAGCAATTTTGTTGCTGAATAATTTATTACATCTTTGAACCTAAGATACTTCAATGTTTTGCTGAAATTCAAGATGTCATGTTATAATTTATAGCACAGATATTTAGATCAAGTCACAAATCTACCTGAAATGAAGAATGACATCACTGTTCTTATATACCAAACTGAAGCAGCACAACTGCTTTCACTTTAGTAAGTTCCAGAAAATTACACGATCACAAGATTGGTCTGGATGAAGAAGTCCCCTCAATCCATCCAATCTCGCCCAGGATCATCTCAGGAGGAACTGTGATAAACATCAAGCATGGTAGAAATCTTGGTAAAGAAAAGTGAATGTTTTGGGTGCCTAAGCTGCGATCAGCCAGGCTCAGTTGGTAGCACTCTCGCCTCTGAGCCAGACGGTTGTGGGTTCAGACCCTACATTGGGACTTGAACTCATAATGTAAACTGTCACTCCAATAGTGTTATGGGTGTGTTGCATTGTCGGAGATGCCGCCCTTCGGATGAAACATTACACCCAGGTCCTGTCTGCCTGTTCAGGTAGTCATTAGGGTTCCCACAGCACTACTAGAAAAGAAAATGGGAGTTTCATTCAGTGTCCTGGTCAACAGTCCTCCAAATAAAATTGGTCATCTATTTCATGTTTATGCGTTGCTGTACGCAATTGGACTGCCACATTTGCCTACAACCATAGTCACTCAACTTCACAGTAAATTCTGTGAAGCACTTTGGAATGCCCTCCTGAGATGAAAGGCGCAATACCAAATGCAAGGATTATTACGATTACCCCTTCAGAACATCCATCCTTCCATTCCCCTCCATTACTGCATCAAGCTGCTTTTTTTCCCCAACATTCTGACCTGTACAACAAAATTACACTTGTATAGCGCCTTTCACGTTGGGAGGATGTCTCAAGACGCTTGACGGTCAGTGTTTCTACCACCTTTCCTGCCAAAATGTAAAACTTCCTCCAACCTGGAACCATCCAAAATCAGAAAATTCAGTCAGGCCAAGGATCCAATAATATCAGTTTGATTTCTCCTTTAAGTTTTAAATAGCCTCTGTGTCATGACTTATTAGAATAGTATTGTAGCACTTTTCAAAGCCCATAGGTATTGGGTCTTATATTAGTAAAAAGAAATCTGCACATTTAACAGCATTACTAATGCTCCATCGATTGCGTGACTTTTTTTGCTACTGTCAGATCCTTCTAATTAGACCAGTCAAGAGACTCAGCATTAGAGGTTATAGCAATTTATTAAAGATTTCAAATTCACTTTGCATTACTTATTCCCTGCTGTCAAAAATGGTTTCTCCATAGTAACTGAAATGGTCAGATTCTTGTATTCAAGTTCCTGCACTCCTCTGCAACCCCCTACCTCTCTGACATCCTCTCTCCTCAAAACAGTACCCATTGCCTTCGTTCCTCCGGGTCTGGCCTCCTCCTCGTCCCCCGAGTCCTCCATTCCACCCTCGGTGGCCGTGCCTTCAGCTACTACGCCCCGAGGCTCTGGAACGCCCTTCCTCACTCCCTTCGCCTCGCTCCTCCCTTCCCATTTTCAGGTCTCTGCTGACGACCTTTCTTTTCAACCGCCCCTTTGGTCACCTTCCTCCCCCTCCCCCTGGCTCAGTCCTGGGATCCGTTACTGTAAAGCGTTCTGAGACGCCGTCCGACGTGGAGGGCGCTATATAAGTCCAAGTTGTTGTTGCAGTAATTTATGAAAGGAAACAAACTCGTTATTCAATGCAGCACACTTTATATAACGTGAAAGAAAATTCCTATTAACCGGCTGAATTAGTTTGAAAAATAATCATCAAATGTAATCATAACAAAAGTACGTTCAGATTATTCAATCTCATAAATTTTCACATTCGGTAATCCAAGTCTCAAATGTATGCAAATTATCATTGATTAAGGCATCACTGTCATTTGTTGCATTTGTCTTTGATCTCATTTCTTCAGCCCTTTATATTGGATATCACGTAGCTTTTCTACAACCAATCATATCTCTGCATTCTTTACACGAACAGCTACCATTGCTGGCAGGACCATAATTTAACAGTATTTGGACATGTCCAGCTGTTCTGCTGCTAGTAGATGCATAACTCACTTACAATATATACTACATGGATCCCACAGCACCCAGAACCTTGCACAATGATCAACGGCTTAAAGTGCAGGAAGCAGCAACCAGCAATAAACGAGCGCTGGAAGAGCAGAGTGCAGGCTGAAATATAAGGCTGGAGAAGAATGCATAGGTATGACAGGAGTATAAAGTTTGAGAAGGCCATGAAGGAATTTGAAGATCAAGACAATGATCTTAAGATCGCTTTTTTGAGTGACTGGGAGCTAAATCAAACACTCAATTAAAATATGAATGTTGGATCTTTTGAATTTCTTCTCTAAGCACGATCAAATGATGGGCACTAATGTATTGAGATAAAAACAACTTATATTTAGTTAATCATATACAACTGAACCCAAATCCTAAAAATCAAGTAAATCAAATAATTCAGTCATACATTGGTACTGACATGAGGCACACACTTGCAGTTCATTAATCTATCATGTATTTTGAGGCATATCTGCTGTAGAGTGGAAACTTGTTACTAAAAGCAGAAATACACCACTATCAATAGACAGGCTGATTTTGCCCTCATTAATGAGTGAGGAAATTTGATTACAGTCAGTTTAAAATTGAAACAAAAATACTGAGAAAGTGGCCTGAATACTGTAGTGTATTGCCATCATTACTGTGGGTCCGTCCACAAGGTGAGGCTCTACTGTAAGCAAGTTGAAACAGAATTACAATTTGGGATATAAAGAGTAAATAGCTGGATATGATTACAGCAGTGATTCAAAGCTCTTAACTACTTAAACTGCTTTAAGGCTATTTTATTAGGATCAATTGAATAACTGCCTTGTAACACACCACTTGTGTAGCACATGTCATAAATAATACAGTAAACCGCCACATATCTCATACCAATTATTTGTATGTAAAATTATCCTTTTTTGTCAGTAGTAAGAAGGCATTTATTTAGCACTGTACAGTTTTAGGCTAGTCAGGAGAAAGAAAGAGAGAGAGGGATAGAAGAGAGAAAAACCTAGACTTAGAGAAAGAAAATGAGAAAGTTGGAGAGGCAGAAAAAGAGAGGGGCTGGCACAGCATGTTAGTATTTTAACTCCTAATGGAAAAAGTTTGTGGGTGGAACCATAGACAATTTGCATGTTGTGTAATGACCACTTATTCAAAATGTTTGCTTATTCACAATGGCCTGGTCCCGATTAGTGCAGATAATTGGCTTTCCACTGTTACTTGGCCATAGCAACATTTAGATACGTGAATGCTGTGTTCTATTCAGCCCTCCTTGTCAATGTTAAAACGAATAATCATTCAAAATAAATAAGATGCCCTAAATGTGTATGTTTTGCCAACAATAACCTTGACACTATCATTTCTAAAACAGTGCATTACACACCATCTAACAAGCTATATAAAAGCTATACTTTTATATAAAATACATGCAGGTACATGTAAGTACATTCCAGAAAGAGGAAATTTTGTAAATCTTTCAATAGAAATAAATTATGGTAAATTCAAAATTACATTTCACTTATGTGCAATGAACCAAGACCCCCTTTGTATTAAGTGCAACATTCAAATCGAATCAAAAAAATATGTCATCTATTGTAACATAGAATGACATCTATCAGTTAGCAGCTCAGCAAACATACAGGCATCTTTTGACCACAACTAACCACAACATGACATCTTGGTTAACAGAATGTTGAATTCCTTGTCATTTGGTTTGTTTAAATAAAATCCAAACTGGTAACAAAACCAGTCAGATTCAATCAAACCCTGAATCAAAATAGAAAAATTCTCTTCCAGAGATATTGCATGCTATACAATACTAATTGGTGGAAGTTGTTTAAGCCTTCCACAGGTATTACCTCTTGCTGTAGTACACCACTGTTAACAAATCTAAATTAATTTCTCCAACCCTGATATTTTTAGAGTCAAATGCCAACTTCCTCTTTTAAGGATGGTCTTTTTTTTAAATAATATTTTCCACCTTTACTATTTTTCTAGCACCTGAGTGCTTAACATCTGAAAATATAGCTACTCACCACTTAGTGACTCATCTTCCTAGACCAGCTGAATGAGTTTGAGACTGTTGATTTAATTCACCAAATGCACTGCATGTGCCCGCGCCCGAGCGTGTGCCTGTGCCCGAGCGGGTGCCATGCCCCTGACCGTGTGCCTGCGCCCCTGAGCGTGTGCCTGTGCCCCTGAGCGTGTGCCTGCGTGTGTGCCATTCTTTGTGTCTGTGAGTTTGTGTCTGTGAGTGTGTGTTTCTCGTTCTGCGGGTGTGTGTCAGTCTCTCTGTCTGTGCGGTGACAGGTTCCGAATGGCAGGAGGTAGTGATCTTCTGGAGCCCCTCAGTCAGGACTAATTCCCTCCCTTGTCCGGACAAAGCACTGGACAGTCAGGGATTTGGACCCAAGCAGGTGGTTGGAATCAGGAGGGCTGAAGGGCAGGGAGAAGGGTGGCCAAAGGTGCGGTCGAAAAGGAGGGTTTTGAGACATGCCTTGAAGGAGGCAATGGAGGGAGCAAGGTGAAGGGACTGTGGGATGGAGTTCCAAGGGGTGGGGGCAGTGCGGCTGACGGTCTGCCCGCCGATGTTGGGAAGGGCCGGGCATGAGGAGCAGGCCGGACGGAACTTGCTGAGGGGGGGGAGTAGACAGGTTGATACGGCATTATCAGGTCACAGAGGTAGGAAGGAGCAAAGCCATGAAGGGCTTTGAAGATGAGGATGAGGATTTTGAACTCTATCCTCTGGGGGATTGGGAGCCAGTAGAGCTGAGCGAGGATAGGGTTGTCACTTCAAAATCTTCTTTGCCTTGCAGCCTACCTCACTTCCAGCTTTCCTGCTTCATCTCGCAGTTCAGCCAAAACTC